GGGAGGGAGGGACGGATGAAAAAAAAGGGTCAGGCTGCTCTCAGAATCAAGATATGAAGCCATGCTCTCTTCCATGTGACTTGCTTGATGCCCACCTGGGTAGCCTGCATCACAGACTCACTTAAGTGTCCTTCCTGTTCACCTTTGCAGAATGGAGATATCAGGGCTTAAGTGAGGTAGAGTGACTTGTCCCTTGGCAGCATGCTGTAAGAGGAAGAAAAGAAAGAGGGGATGTGAGAGTGTGGCAGGCCACTAAAAAAACAGCATAGCAACCATCAGGCTAGCAGGCACCCATGTGTTGTACTTGTGCAATTGTGAGGCCCAGACTGTAAAGAGAACAGTAGGGAAATTAAAAAACACAACTTGCCTTTCTCTGCTTGAAATTCACCCATATGTGAACACCCCAAATTATAACCCCACATATATACATCTAACAAAGCAGACACCGTGACAGTAAGCAAGTCTGTGGCTCTGCATGGTGTATTGTACTGCTCCTGAATGTTAGGCAATGGCACTATGGGAACCATCTCATCCTTACAAGCAGAACAACTGCTTACAGGTAAGATTAGCTCATTAGCCTATCTGGAGGCAGCTGGCTCAGTTGGAAGCACTGAAACTGGAAAGCGCCCAAGCCCTGTGTGCTATTCAGACATTACAGCACTGATGCTGCCCATTTCCACAGACATAAGACCAATTATAATTCCATCGTCAATCTTAATCATAGCTGGGCATGGGCTATGACTGGGAATGAACATCATGACTGGCCACCCAAGTAACAGTCAGCCTTCACCTTTTTGAGCAGTAGCACAGGACAGTGGAGGATACTGCTTTTGTTCTAATGCCCAAATGGCACCTCAGATATCCAGGCATTTGCAGCTGTTGCTTTTAGCAGCCTGTTGGACCAGCCAGAGCACATAAGTGGCATTCCTGGTGAATTGCCATCCCTATTTTAAACTGTTAACCAGACTTGGTTATTTTTGATTTGTTTCACAACAGGGCCCTTACACACCATCTGATTGGAAATACAATTTTAGGTAGTGCATCATTCTTTGGGTGTTAATCCTCAAAAATTATAGCCCAAAGATAGCAGATCAGTGATAGGGTATGTACTTTACATGCATAAGGTTCCAGGCTGAATTCCTGGCATTTACAGAGAGAAGGCAGGGGTGGTGGTGGTGTCAATCAGGTAGTCAATGCTGGGCTAAATTGAGTGACTTGAAATGTGCAAGTCTTACATTCCATCAATAATAAAACATTGTTTTCATTGTCTAGAGTCTGGCAGTACCTATTCTTATAGTTGACATCACTGGCCCAGCTAATGGTCATATGCAAACTGTGGATGTGCACTTTTAGCTACTATATTGCACTCTGTTATATAACCCGTCTAAATAATTCACTGTTGTTATACTTAACTGAGACTGGCATTGGGCTGTAACTTTAGAGAAAAAATTAATATGGTGATTATACCTCTAAATCCACTCCAAACTCTGGACTCTGATGGGCTGCTATACCTCCTAGTCATGTGTTGAAATGAAATGACAGACAGAGCTTAGTATCAGAGTTGTAAGGGGCCATTTAGTAAAGATGATCACCACCCTTGGTAATCTGGTCCACTTTCAAACTGCTCTTCCATTCCTAATACTCAGCTGGAATCTGCCTTAACTTGAAATCGTTATTCTGTTTCCTGCATCATATCCTCCCTTAATCATTCTTTTTCAAGGATACCTATGCACAGTTCCCTCTGTCTCTTTTCGTAGGATTCAGGTTCCACTCCCCAGATCATCCTCCCCATTCTTTGCCCCTATTCAGTTCAATTCCTTTTTAAAGTATGGCACTCAGCTCTGGATGGTAGTACTCAAGGTAGAAGCTGACAACAGAGTGATCTGGGAAGTATAGTTGTACTAGTTCAGACCAAAATCGGCTTCCTTTTTTTTTTTTTTTGTAGCCATTGTGCTGTTCCTCTTAGTGACAGTTATGAGAAAGTTACAGGGAAGGATCAATTAAACTCTGCCCCTCTTCCCCCACCCCCCTAAGTTTGGTACACTTAGCAGTTTGCCTGTTCTTCTCAATAGCAACCATTTTCTCTCCCTTCTTTCAGTTTCCACAAGTTCTAGGAGCAAAAGTGTAGTCTGCTATCTTAGCCATCTTAAATTTGACTAGGACAAAAACTAATTCTGATTATTCTTTTAATAAAAGAGGTGATGAATAGCTCCACCATTTTGGCCTGAAAATATCTTATGTTTGCTGAATGCTAATAGAGATGGATTTGCTTTATAACACAGGTTCATGGAAACAAGCTGCTGCAAACAGCCTTCTGAAGTCTCCTTCTAGTTCCACAAGAAAAAGAAAGATGCTAATGCTAATCTAACGTTACTTGTTACCAAAGATTTCTGTAAAATCAGCTAAACTCTTAAATACCTTACCAGATTAAAACCTGTAACTGGTTCCCCCATCTAAGAGCTTTATGTATTTCAGCTAATAAAACTGCAGCTTCCAAGTGGTTTTTTCTTTTTAAAAAAACCCACAAACCCATTCACAATTTTCCAAATGAAAAGATGCTATCATTGTATTTCATAAACAAACGAATAATTTTGCCCTGTTAGGATCTAGAAAGAAAAGGACTGATCATAGTGGGAATCTGAGTCGAAGCTAATTTTTGTTCAGCATCATGACAGGTATGCCTTAAACACATACAAAGCAGGCTAGAGCCTTGGGTTTTAGTGGGAAAAAAGCACATATATGTGGGGATGTTAAACATTTCACCACCAACTTATTTCGATGGACTCTCCCAGCTCAAAAATGCTTTTTTCCAGAACTAAGACTTTATGCTGAAAGTAGACTATAAGGAGAAAAGTGACTACAGAGAAGTAAGAGATGAAAGAGGTAGCCTCATCTGTTATATTGCTGCCCAGAGTCACTTGTTGAGATGGGAGGCTATAGAAATGAAATACAAACAAATAAACAAACAAACATTCTTTTCCCATTAAAAACTGGGTGGCTCTACTCCTTTCTATGTGCCTGTAGCAGGTCTGTATTTCAATGAATAGATCAATGACCATTATGAATTTCAGCCCTCTGTTGTGGAATGAAGATACGCTAAAGCATTTGACTGATACACCTGTTTGTCAAAGGTTTCAGCAATCTATGGTATCCATCACTCTCTCTCTCTCATAATTCATTTATCTGTCCTTTTTATAGTCTGCACTCAGCATGTTCTATCTTCCTACCCTTAGCAACCATGAACAGCAACCTTCCTACCATGAACATGGATAGCAAGGTCCTCTAGTACTAAAACTTCATTAATTTTACAAACTACTCTCCCAAACACATTATGGATATTGTTATAAATAATTGAATCTCAACTAAGTGCATTTTTTATGTTTTATATTTGCTCTTTTTTCCCCCCTAAGATATTTCTTCACTTACTCAAGTGATTTGGAAGATTATATAATTTGGAGTGCATCTTCTAGTCTCCAACATGAATTAGTATGGTCTGTTTTGGTTTGGACAAACTGACTCTGTGCAAGTCAGCAAATATGTGTGGTTTGCTTCACAGCCTTAACACACAGTTCAGGCTATTTATTCCAGAGTGCTTTCATGGCTGCTCTGCACTCAAATGTCAGCCCTTCAAGTAGCCAGGCCAAGAAACAGATACAGCAGAGATTCTAGGAATGTTTTTTATTGTTGTAGGGTAGAATAATAGAAACCTGACAGCCTGTCAGAGTTTCTTCTACCCCATGTTATATCAAAGAGAATCAAGGTGGGATTATTCTGAGTTTCTATCTCACAGATTCCTCTTTGTTGGGACTGAGTAATCTTTTTTCAAACCTCCCCTTTAACGGTTCACTCATTCCTTCCCCATTCCCAAGGCCAGGCCTACATTTCTTTACATAAAGGGCTTAAGAAATATTGCCTAATTTGCAAAGTTGTATTAATATACCCAGCCAGTGGTTCTTGAACATTGGCAAGAAGCCTAATATCTTTTAAACCAAGATGAAGAGCATTGAAAACACAGCAATAGCTTTAATTAGAGAACATCAGTCACAAGTATGATTCCAGTGAACAATATCTTAGCAAAATAGCAATTCATAGTGTTCTCCAATTCAGATTTGTCCAAGGGCCTAAGATTGCTGGAATTCTGGCAAGAAACAAGATAGCAGAGGGAAGCTACATCATGATGCAGAGTGACATCAAACATCATCACTGCTGGTGCATTCAGAAGACTCTGCAAAGCAAAGCTTTGCCTCACCTTTCAGGGCCAAAAAGGCTGCTTGTGAAGCTGGCAAAATCCAGACAGTTTCATAGGCCTGGGCTGCCTCAGTTTCCAACAAATACAGAGTTGTCTCATTTATGTTTGTGTGCAAAAAGTTAAGATGATGGCTGCAACCACACCATCGAAGCCCCTCCTCTTTTTATGTGTGGGGCAGGGCTATAACTGCAGAGTTGCTGTCACCATCTTTACTTTTTATCCTCCCTATGCAGAATCCCTTGACCAGGTGGACTAGAATAGCCTACATTTGTCTTATGAAGTACTGCATTGCATTTTGCTGAGTTTAGAAAAAAACCCTTTTCCCCCAAAAATCTCATGGTAAGTAAAAAGAACATTATGATGGCTAAAGTGGAATGAATTGAATGATTTAAAGCAGGCATTGCAAAGATATGCACAAGAGCACATCTAGATGTTGTTGTTGTTGCTGACTTCCCCACATTTGGCCGCATGTAATGATGCCATTATGTCATGCATTTCCCCACTTTCTTTGCAAATGGCAATTATGCTGATCAGTGGTGGGAAAATTAAATCAATTTCCATCTTCTTTCCCTGATTCAGATTTGTCTACTGCCTGAAACCAGAGGGACTCTAGGCAGCTTATAGAATCCATTCATGTTGCTGAATGGGTCACCTTGCCTGGAACATGTTATACTGTAAATGAAAGTGCAATCAGCTGCTGAGCACAGTTTCTCTTTTGGCATTAAATACCCTAAACAACTGGGTATGAAGAGACCTGACAGACTGCCTTTGTGGAAGGACAAATCTTTGTCCATGGACTCAGTAGATTTACTTACGGATGGGCTTTCTTTGAAAAGGTACATTCACTCTACAAGGTTGTCCCCCCCTAAATTCATCAGGTGCATACTAAAAATATACTTTATGAACGTATTGAAGATTGCCTCTTTACCTTGGTCTTCCCTGGGTATAAGGGATGAATTACTGTGTTTTCCTTTCCTTTTCTGTTTTCTAATGAATATGTTTTTATATTGTTGTTTATTGCACTTTTGTCATTGCATTGTACTCTCTTAATAATAATTCAGTAATAATTTATTAAACTTGTAGGTTACCAGACTCTTGACAACTCTGGGCAGTTCACAACAATCAAATAAAGAAATTACATCACTCTTAGCTAAGTACATAGGAAGCAGGGTAAAGATATATTAAATAAACAAAATGGGCAAGAGGGGCAGAATATTGTTTGTATATACGTGAATGCCATGTGTGTATAAATGTCCTGTGGCAACTACCATGTAAAGTTTACCTCTAATTTTCACAGAAACCAACAGCAGATAAGCATACAGTTGGCCCTTTAAATAGCATTGACCGCTTTGGTTCATACCAAATGGAGCAGCCAATCCAGGGTTGCCAGTAAACTGCTGCTGAGAGTTCTGGCTCCAAATGTTCCCATGCAAAATACAGATTAGCAAACGTGTGTTGATCACATTCAACTGTTACATTTGTAAGTGCTGATTCACTCTTTAGGTCTGTGTATTAAAAAAAAATATGAACGTGTAGTGTTACCTTAAATATCAGTCCCTGCAAACTAAGTAAATATATGCAACAAAACACAAAAACTTATTTTGGAAGCAGATAGATTCATTAACTTTAGCAACATGGGGTAACCTAGCTGAAGACACTAAAAAGGAAACAAAAGCTAAGCTGTCACTGATAACAATCATTCCTTGAGCAGCAATATATTATCTACAATTATTGAATTAAGCTACGTTGTACAAAGGCAATAATTTTCCCAGAATTCCTACCCAAGATATTCTATTTCCATGTATCTTGATAACGAAGGACTAACACATCTGTCTGTGTGCAATGAGTTCGACAATTAGGGAATTCAAATAAATAAATAAATACTGGATGTGTCCAGGGAAAATATTTGAGACAGACCAAACATGCACAACTTTTTCTGGGTTTTGAGTTACACTTGAATTACGAACTGAGTACTGCACTCCAAAAATGAGTTACCATTTTTTATGAGTTACTCCAAAAATGAGTTACCATTACCATTTAAAATTAATTACAATAAAATAAAATGTATATGATGCATTTAATAATTTCCCCCTTCCATTACTATTAAAACTTACAATATGGTAACAATTTCTGGAGGTCTCTAGAGGCTATACTAAGATTTCAGCATCCCCGGTTTTTCAGATTGGGCACTTTTGATACAGGCTACTAGAGATGGAATCAAGGCAAGAATTATGCAACCCGCCAGACTCTTGCTGGCTTCTGTTTTTTTTAAATTACTACATGAGCTATAGAACTTCTATAACTTAATATATTAATTTCCTGTCATCCTCTGCATAATCTGCATGATTTAAATATTATCTTGGAATATGTGATAAAATCAAGGCAACTGACATTTTCACTGTGCCAAAGACATGGAATGTGAGACTTCTGATCATGAATGGCAAGAGCCACTACTTTGCAAACAAACTAACTTGTTGCTTGACTACTAGAAATCTGATTTTGGTTGAGCTTTCCCAAAACAAGGGAACAGCCACAGCAGCTGGAAATTATGGGAATTACAGTGCAACAGGTTAGGAACATCTGCTTTATTTCCTTACATTTTTATTGCCTATTGCATTTGTATTTCACTGGTATATTCCAACATTCTTTAGTATTCCAAGTTGTTTAAATATTGCAATATTCTAACAGAGTTTTTATTCTTTTTATATTAAATTACATAGTGAAACTATGCTGAAGCAAGGATTCTGACTGACATAATCTCCAGTCCAGGTGATTTATTATTCCAAACCTGCATTCTGGAGACATATTTGTGGGCCTATTATGCAACAGTTTAAAATCACTCTGTTTTACTGCAGACCAAAATACAGATAAGAAAACGAGATTACGTACAATGGAAATGGCAACAGTCACTAATATATTACTTGAAATTCTTTAATTGTTCTTTATTAAAAAAAGAGATAAGAACTTCTGACTGCCAAAATATTATTTATTCTACGGTTAGTTCCAAATAGGTAAATGTTGCAGGAAGGATCTAGATTAGCACAAGGCCATGACCACAGAAGTTCAGCCAGTCTTAAATACTGGGTTTGCAACACATTTAATCCGGACCCCTGAATTTGCCATATTATTTTAATTTGCCAGGGTGTTTTTTTTTTTTTTACCATGTTAGTGGGAACATTGAAAGATGCTTGGGCTCTGTGTTGGGCATAGGTAGAAATCAGAATTTCTTACTTCTCTCTTGGAAATAAATAAACCCTTCCCTACCACACCAGCATAAAAGTCCATATACGCTCTAACGCTGGAGATGGGAAAGCACACAAATTTAATAAAACACAAAAAAAGGAAATACAGTTACTATAATGGAACAGGAGCAACCTGGGAGAGGTTGCGTGTCTGACACAAACATGGCAGGTAAGTTATCACCAGCAGCAGCTCTAAGCAAGAGTTCTTTCCAGTAATACAACCTAAGACTCTAATTTGGGAACTTCAAAGATTAACTTGGAAAGTTAATCTTGCATATGAAGATTTAATATTAAAAAATGTTGTGAAGTGATAGGGAGAAGAGATTAAATCTGAAAAGCAATGTGCTAGATTGTAAACAAATGGCAAAACATTACAAATCTGCTCAAAGTCTACAAATTCCTCTCTGTAAGGTAACATTTGCCAAGTTTTATTTATTTCTTTTAAAAAAGGAAGCACTAATTTGATTATTTTTAAATGTTCAACATTTGAGAATGGGCACTCAGCATCTTTCTATTTCAGCAGACTCAGGCCAATACCTAAACACTAGCTAACTTCAGAGAAACCTAGTTTCTGTGCAGTTCCAAGTTGTCTCAAAATACAGCCAACAAAGAAACAAATAATTTCAAAATGGACAGCAGCAATCCCAAAGTAGCTAAGACCAAAACTGCAACTTTTCAGGGTTTGCAGTTGTGTGGTCCCTGGAAAATGCATGTTTGAATTAAGAAATCTGCAAAAGGATGGTAGGAGAGCAGTGACAGATGGTTACACCCTGTGGCCACCTCTTTAGCTCAGTGCCACTTCCTGAACAGCTTCTTAACTCAAATATTTTCCTGAGCCCTCGCAGCTACTATGCAAACCCTGGAAAATGTACATTACCTCTAAGGAGAAGCCAAGAGGTATGGTGAGAGTGCCCACCCTAGAACCAAAGCACCCTCACCTGCCGTGTATCTGAATACTTTTACCAGCACAGAAAAAGGTGTTTTTTTCAACCAACTTAGTTTTAATACCAAGAATTCAAACATTAAATGACCATTTTCTTCCAATGTTCCTGCTATTTCAATTTTGTCACTAAGTCTTTCCTATTTGTTAGTATTTGGTCCTTTTGTGTCTTTCTCCACTTTCTAAAAATACTGTTAGCCAGACAAGTCACAAATTTCTGGGAAGGGCTATGCTTAGCAGAGTTAGAGTTCCCAACAGATGTCAGGCTAAAATTCCTGCACCACCATAACTTTGCTCCTCTTTCAAAGATCTGCAATTTACTTTTGGAAGATTACTTTCACTTATTTTTCTTGGCCAGACAGAGGATAGCTGATACCAACAATATTTCTTCTATTCATTTATCTACTTATTTTAACCCAGATACTGTCTACAGAACGTTAAGTGTATTCACTTACATTTTTAAGTAGGAATGATACTTTCGATCTGCAGTGCAATTTCTTTTCCCTTTCTATTGCTTTTGTTCTTTCTGAACAAAATGTAACTTTTGACTGCTGTTCCAATCATGGAATTAATCCCATTAGGTCTCAGTTACACCTATTTAGTTGTATTCAACCTTCAATACTAAGAATTCAAACTCATTCTGATATTCTGAGCATTCATATACAAACAGCAAAAGCCATAAACTTATAGCCAAGTGGATAGCCAGCATGGCTTCTGATTTTTCACTGAGCGGTTTAATAGCCCCCACTGCCTTTTCTGCAGAGGAAAAAGTTTTGAACTGAGGTCTTTACTTCAGAGTTTTCCTCTCCAATCTCCACAGGATTAAATTTACAGTCCTCCTGATTAGCTTGCCATGCGTCAGGCAGACAAAGCCTTAGTGAAGTGCAACCAATCTTATGCCAGACCACAGATCCAGGAATCAAAAATCTGCCATCAACACTATTTATGTGGCCAGTGATTCCCTAGCAGTATTCTTTCTTCCCTGTCTTTTGCTCTTGTGGATGAATGGATCCAGAGACAATCCAAGTCCCTAGATCCAATCCAGGACCTTACTTCCTGGATTACAGCTGCTTTTGGCTGTAATCATTTGTTCCCACCCAGATTAGGTGGAAGAGATAATTGCCAGTGGATCTGATAAGATTTAGAAGTTCTTCTGTCACTTCTCTAATCTATGCTCTTGATAGAGCTGAAAAATTTGGCATAATTTTTTTTAATTAATAAATAAATTAACCCATTTTCCTATTTGTCCCCTCTTGTTATTCAGCCCTGTCACTCAGCCTTCATCAGAGCATCTTCATGTCTAGAAGTACAACTAGGTACAACAGATAACTTTTTAGTAGCATAAAAGAAAGAAAGTTAAAACTAAAGTCTGAGGTTTCTATTACATTAAATCTGGGTCATTTTACTCTGAAAATCAATGCAATTGTTTTGGGAACAAGATAGGTTTCTTTCTTAGAAATGCAAAATATAAATAAAAGCACTCAGGTTCAAAGGAAACATGAATGTTTTTGGAACATGATGTTTTGATTACTTCATTATTCTCTCTTCTTGACCTTAAATGACAAATGACGGTGTTTGTAATTGTACAAATAAATACAGTTTAGAGGCCCTCTAAACAAGTTGCAGTTTCTTATTTTGTTTACTGGCCTGCAATGGTTAATCCCACACTCTCTGCTGGAGTAATCGTTGTCCCAGTCAGTATTTCCTGGAGGATTTGATGCACCAGGTGATCGTGGTCCAACACTATTCTGAAACTCGGATGAAATATGTGAAAAATCCTAAGTACGGAACACAAGATAGAAAAGTCTGAGACCTAGAAATTGGCAGAACAATTTGGTTTTATATATAATCATTTCAAGAAAACATTCAAAATAGGGGAAAATCCCAGATGAGCCAAGTATTTAAACATGCTGATATGTGAACAACTGTGAACGTGCTCAAGAACCTTTATTTCAGATTATTTATTCTGTAAAGCAATCTGCTGCTTTTTCCCTTATTCTAGCTTTACAAACTGATGTTCTGAAAAAATTTCATCCCACGTTTACTGTCCATTATATGCATAAGAATGAATACTTCTGCCTTTATCATTTTTTTCTTTGCAATCTTTTTCCCCACATGAAATGCATCTCTCACTGCTGCAATATATTAAAATAGCTTATTATAAGAGGACATGGCAAGAAAAATCTTTACTGTATAAGCACTGCACTTTTAGCAGAAGCCATTTTCTGGTAGCTCCCTAAAACTTTTTTTTTTAATTTACTTGTTTTAATATTCATCTGAATTCTAACCAATGCAAATAACATTCATTTAAAAAAGGTAATAAATCATTGCTTTTAATGGATCAGCTTCTAAGTTTTTGATTTGTTTTCTGCCTGAAGTAGCAGAGTCTATGATGCTGTAAACATTTTCTTGCCAGTAAATCTCTTTGTGCATTGCGATTTTTTTTACTTCTGAACATAAACTTATACAATTGCATTATAACAATATTACAATGTTGACAATTACAGTGGTTTTGAATAATTCACTTTGTTCTGAATACAGGCAGTCCCCATGTTAAGAACGAGATCCGTTCCTGACTCTGTCTTTAACTTAAATTTGTATGTAAGTCGGAACTCGTACTTATGAACAAGCTGCCCACCACCAAAAATGGTGGATGGCATTCTCCCTCCTCAAGCCGACGAACTGCTGAAGCTGCACAATGTTCTCATGAACCGCTGAAAACAGGCTGTATATTAAAAACTCATGGCTTCAGTGGTTCATGAAAACATTGCATTGCAGTTCATTGGCTCAAGGAAGGAGAATGCCATTCGCCATCTCCAATAATAGGCAGCCCATTCGCAAGTACGAGTTGTCCGTAAGTTGGATGTTCTTAACCTAGGGACTGACTGTATAACAAGAATGGATAAGCTGCAGCCTCTGAAGCCATTTGTGCGACTGCCTGCGAGTGCTACCCCTTGTTGTCTCCAGCAGATGATGGCAGCTCATTTGATCATTCAGTGGCTGAGGAGTCCTATTGCAAGGAGGAAACTTCAGGGGCTAGTTGATCAAAGAGTTACTTGGGAGAACAGGGAGGAGACTGCTGAGTTCCTGAAAGTTACTGGAAGAAAAGTGGAAGCTATACTGCTTCCTTCACCATCAGAAGCTTCCTCCGAATTGCTAGTTTTTCACTATCATATAGGAATAGGAACCCAGCAATCTAAAGCAAATTTGCTGATATGAAGGAGGAAGTTTCAATGCTTCCTCTTTCCTTGCAGCAAACTTTTTTGTTTGTTTGTTTTTTATTTTAAATACACATATGTACTGTGGAGTCTCTTTGGGTGTTTTTTGTTATTAAAAGACAACAAAAAAGCAACTACTTAACACCAAA